CCAGCGACAGGGAGCCCTCCCGAAGGCTCTCTCGCGTGAACACGACTCCAAATGACGATCCCATTGAGCGCGCAGCTCGGGAGGACCGCGCACCGCGCTTGCACCACGAGCCGGGGTGGGGGCGGGTGCAGCATGAAGCCCCTGAGCCCCTTCGGTGCGTGAGGATGCTCGCACGCCCTCGATCGCCCCCCCCTCCCTGCTCGGAGTCTCACATTTCAGCGATATGAGCCAAAGACCTCTACGCTTTTTTTTAAAGTCCTTGCAAAGGAAAAGCCCTCCTTCTCCGCGGCGGCCGCAATCCGTCTTGCTGTTTGCAGCTCGCACAGCTGTATTACTGCTCGCTGGTGCGCTCATCAATTACAAACGGTCAGGATATGCAACGGAGCATTATATTTCTTTGATTAAAGGATTGTGATCCATCTTATACCGACGCAATTTGTATGTCTGACGACTCTGGAGGGCAGTGCGCGATGTTATATTTAAAAAAAAAAATCATTACGTGGTGTTAATGGAATGGAACGCGATATTTGATCACAATACAACGTGTGTAAATGATATAACCACGCCGCACCGGTTGTTAAAATGCGATGCTAATGCGTCGCGAAAATTCGGATGTGCGAGAGCGCCCAACGTTGCTTAAATGTCACACGAACTGTTATTGCTCCGTGTACACTCAATCAATTTAATAGCCGAGGCACACAAAACAGCAAACCAGCACACAAGGATTATCACACTACACTACCGAGTGTACACCCACTCCCTGAGCGTGCACTATTTCCCGTAGTATACACTCGGAGAGATAGTGTACACTACGTGGTGTATACTCACTCACGTGGTGTACACTCACTCACGTAGAGTACTCTCACGTAGTGTACACTCACTCCCGTAGTGTACACTCACTCACGTGGTGTACACGCACCCACGTGGTGTACTCTCACGTAGTGTACTCTCACGTGGTGTACACTCACTCACGTGGTGTACACTCACTCACGTGGTGTACACTCACTCACGTGGTGTACACTCACTCACGTGGTGTACACTCACGTGGTGTACTTTCACGTAGTGTACACTTACTCACATAGTGTACTCTCACGTGATGTACACTCATGTAGTGTGTACACCGCAGTAGTGTACACTCACGTGGTGTACACTCACGTGGTGTACACTCACTCACGTAGTGTACTCTCACGTGGTGTACTCTCACGTGGTGTACACTACAGCGGTGTACACGAGTGAGTGTACACACACTGGCTGTTGTGTTATATCTGTCATTGCCATTAGCATGAGGTGGCTTGATTTTGTTTCAAACGTTCTGTAACGATAGAACTGCCGTGTAATGGTGACGCGGGTTGATTGTATTGGACGGCAGTAATCAATTGCTAGAGTGACCTAAGAAAGTGCTCAGAGGTAGACTCACGTATGACATACACCCGTCCAAAACAACAACAACAACAATCATATCCATTCACGCACTTAACATTCACATTTGAATGGATTATGAAAATCAAACACACGCATTGTTGGCACATATTTCAAAGGACAGCATTGCTCTCTAAAAGCAATACGACATTATAAACGAGGCGCCCTGTTTTGGGACACCTAAATCAGGTAAGATGACAGATTTATCCATTACTGCAGAGCGCTTGTAACGCTGGGACATGATATTGGCTATTCATATTCCATCATCACCTTGCTGCCAAGTGCGTGATGATCATTACGCACTTTCCGCCGACACTCGCAGCTCAATGGAATATAATCCATCGTATTAAAGTGTCTCCAGAGCAGCTGAGATCAGCATGGCTGCTGTGCGTGACTGCAGCAAGGGAGGTCACAGGTCTGGCCCCAGCTCGGTGCTTCGCCTGCTTGGTCTCAACAATGCAAATCACGTGGCCAGTCACAATTCCGCGGGTCACCCGTCTGTTCCCAGACAACGTGGGTCACATTTAAAGTTTTCCCGAGCAAGATGTCCCACCTCGCTGACTCCAACGGCTCGGTGAGTCACCTGCCCAGTCCCAACAAGAGTAGAACACATCGCCACCATAGACACGGTGTAATCACCTTGCCAGCCAGCCCCAGCAAGATAGGTCACCTGACCGACCCCTATCAAAGGTGGATCACCCAGATAGGTGGGTCCACCTTGGCCAGCCAGTCCCAAGAAGGCGCGTCACTTGGCCACCCTGTTAGGCATTTATGTCGCTTTGTGGCGTCTGCGTAGGTGTCCTGCGGAACGCCAGCGAATCGCATGCGGTGGGGCCATCAATGACATTTCCCAAGACTGGATTTTGTGAAAATCTCCTCGAGTCCACGTGGGTGCGAGCCATTTTCTAGGTCACTTATAGCGTGCGCCAAGAGCAGAAGGGAGATGCAAATAACAACACTAATAACAACAACAACAAACAGCACGCCAATTAGACGCGATTGGAGCTATCGTAGTGTGGAGGAGACACGTCTCGCTTGATTTACTGCTCCGAGTTTAATTGGTCAAAGCCTCCCGTGCAATATTTGTGGAAAGTCCAAACACATCCACGCGACCACTATATCTGGTGTGTGTGTGCGCGCGTGTTTACCACGACTGTCTGCGGGAGGGGGGGGGGGGGCAGGAAATAATAGAGACTTGTTGAATAATTATCGCACGGGTAAAACATTTCAAGAAAACGCTGACGCTTTTTATTTTTTGCCTGTATTGAAGAATTAATTTTCGAGAACATCCATTTATCGACTTTATTATTGCGAACACCGAGGCGAGACAAAAAATATATAAAACACGACTTTTGGTGATTACGATGTGAGAATTGGGCCAGTCGGTACGTACCGCACGAGAGCGCGACACAAACACCAATTTACCGCGGGTCCCGTAATTGAACATCTCACTTTGCCGATGCACGGCAACATCTCTCCAGATATCAATTAGCGGCCCCACACTAACGCCCCCCCCCCCGCCCCCCTTTGCAGCAGGCGATGAGTGAGTGACTCAGCGGCGAGCGGCAGGCGTCTGCTCAAACCGATTCGGGAGGCTCCATCCCGCCACTCGTCGTGTTGCCGAGCCACTTTCATTTGGGGCCAAACGGACGCGGGTCGATCTGACGCGACGCGATGATGGCACAGGTGTCAACAGCAGCACCTGCGCGATTAACAATACCTCACGTCATCGTTGTCGTTGTTGTTGTTGTCGTTGTTGTTGTATACATCAGGGAGATGATTATATGCGACTTCTAGCGGCGTCCGTGACACAACCGTTCAAAAGTTGCGACCAATCAACACCCTGGCTAATCATCTACCTCCGTGCCTTAGCGCAGCGCCTATGCTGCCCCCCCCCCCCCCCGGAGATGAGAGAGTACCGTGAGCAGCGCCCATAGAACTCAGCCACGGGTGTCATTAAAACCCTCCGCGGGATCCCATTTCGCACAGCGGGGCGCCCGATCCCACCGCGGGATGGTTACAGCACCCCACACCCTCTCCCCCTCTCCCCCCCCCATTTCTCAGTTATCAAAACCTCAGTCTCGATGCGCACTCGCGTTATAGGGCGGCGTTCGAACACCACACGGTGCCATACCCATACTGTAGGAGTGGTGGCGCAGTGGATAGCGCGCATTGCGCTGCGAACCTCGAAGCCCCTGACTTGACGATTCCCGGCCACGGCGAATATCGGGCGTGGGTCGCGAGTGATATCTGAACCGATCTAGCCCGCCCGCCCGCCTGCCTGCCTCCCTCCCTTTCCCCCTGCCCAAGAACGCGCGTGCTCGTCACGCAAAGTAGACGGGCCATCGGCATAAGTACGGAGCATCTCGCGGTAATCTTTATATCGCCGGAGGTTATTGTGCAGCACGGGTAAGTGGAAGCTCGTGAATTTCAACACGTTTTTTGGACCAACACCGGCACGCGCAGGTATAACAATTAAATAAGCACCAATAAAGTCGTGAAGGCGGATGAACCGGCACAAGCCAAACAGCCCAAATGCCAGGACCCTGCCGGAAAAGAGCCTTGAGACTCAGTCGGACTTTCCGGGACGAATGAATGTCATTACTTTTTTATAACCTGATGATTGCTTGTGTTGCGATCGAAACGTCGTGATGGTTTTATTATTTTTCAATCTACGTGGCTTTATCCAAAGATCCAAAGAATATGAATTCCTGCAGTCACGAAAGCTTTAAGTCAAGATGTTATGTCATTACCCTAAATTATTTGATTACACATATAGGCTATATGTACGTTGCACCGTGCGTAGCAACCGTAATTCGAGCATACAGCACCCCCGCGACTTGTGGCACGCAGCATGTAACAGAGACAACGATCCCCCCAACAGCAATGTAGCCTCGTGGGGCACCTGCTGTTAGCGAGCACCTCTTAAGCCCGGAGCAGCGCACGACGAGGAGATTGGCGTGGCACGCGCCACGCCTTTGTCTTCCCCGTCCTGATGTCTACACACCGAACCAGCTACTTATTCAAGGCTGAGTCGACTGAGAGACAGCACATCATCGATTTCGTTTCCACTCGCCAACCGATGTTATCTGTGACCGAGAACGAACCGAGGTAGCCTGCTTCTTCGGGGAAGTGCGCTAACGCACTGCGCCACCGCTCCCCAAAAGATCCTCTCTGTAAACCTAAACATAGTGTTGGGGCAAATAATGTTAGCGAGGAGCTATTAAGGCCAAGACGACGCAAAAAGGGGTGGTCAGCACCACGCCCGGCCGCCTTTGTCTCCCTATTGGCGATGTTTACACACAGCACCAGGTACTCATTTTAGGCTGAGTCGACCTAGGGGAGGCGCAGGACCAATTTAGGAAATCGTCACTGGTCTTGACCGTGAGCGGAAATCGAACTCGGGTCGCCGGGTTCGTAGCGCAGCGCGCTAACCGTTACACTACCGCTCCCGACACACACGCACACGTGTGCACGCGCCCACGCCTTACGAATACACGAAGGCAATGCTACCGTTTGTTGCCTTTTCTGTACCACACGGAGCGGGGAGGTGGTGAAACACACACACAGACTCCGCGTACCTTTGAGTGGTCACATGCAGATGCGCGGCTGCGTCTGCGCTCCGCTCGACACCAGCATCGCTCCCTCCGCTCCGCAGCGCAATCCCGAACGCTCGCTCGCTCGCTCCTCTCAGTCCGCTACGGCGTGTGCAACATCCCGTCGCTTGTTCACTCCTGCAGCAGTAGAGTGATCGCTACCAGCGGTAGTGACGCTGCTGCTGCTGCTGCTGTCGAGCTAGCACGGGACTTGTGAAGCAAGCAGCAGCATCAGCAGCTGTCCAGCAGCAGCAGCTGCATTAAGTCGCTATCCAGCACTGACAAAGCAGAGAGTGGCGTTCCCTTACCCCGCTCACCGCTCCTCGTTCTTTCTCGTGCTATGGATTCCTTGGCCCCACCTTTGCTCCACTGCTGTTGTCACGCGGAGCTCTCAGTGCTCCTCGCCGAGCGCTGCGCTTCGCTCTGCTCTACTGAATCCGGCTGCTCCTCTCATCCCGTGGGCGCGCACTCCCCTCCACTCATCCCTCTCCTCCTCCTACCTCTCCCGTTCAGACGCCCGCGTGGCGAAGCGAGCTACAGCTGCAGCAGCAGAAGCCTTGCGCGTATCTCCTGCCTGTCCGTGCCCGACCCTCCCGGTTCGTGGTGTGTGTCTAGGTGTATGTAACTCTGTGTGCACGTGTTTACGTGAGTGTATGTATGCGGCTGTACCAATCTGTGTGCATATACGACGCTCGCCTATGCCTCGCTTTTTTCCCTCCTTTAGATAAATCTTGATTTATTTATATTTTTTTTTTTGGGGGGGGGGGGGTTCCCAGGCCAGCCACTTTTGAGATATGGTGCTGGTATATTGATCGCGGGTAATTATCTCGAGCTGGCCCGGAGCCCGGCGAGGGATTTCGCTGGCGCTGTCGCTGATAGGGAATAGGTGGCCGATCGCGCGTTCATCCTTGGCCTCCCCGCTGGAGCACCCACGCCCCCGCTACCCCGCCCCACCCCCTCTCAAGCCCTTACCCCTGTCTTGTTCACGCTCGCAAAGCCGCCTTCTCAACTCGGGGCGCCCGGTGGCGTTTCAACAAGATGGGAGGATGGCTGGCCGTGAATGCATTTCTGGATGGATGAATGGACTGTATGGATAATAAACTGGTGGGACGGCTGCGATGGTGAGTGGATGGCTGTAAAGATGCTTGGATGGCGAGTGTATGTACAGCTCGCTGAGACTGGATTACTGGTTGGACGTCTGGATTGCGAATGGAATAGAGCTAGTCAGATTGGATGGCGAACTGGATGCAGAACAGAGCAGATGACGGGCTGGCCTGAATTGTTGTCTGGATGGCGAGCTGGATAGATGCCTGGGTGGCCGATGAGTTGATCCGGCTAGTGGACTGTCTGACCGATGAGAGGACCAGTTAGCTGGCTTGCTGCTTTCTCTGAGCGCCTCGCTGTCCACTCTGCCTGCCCGTCTGCCCGCCGATCTCTCTCATTCTCAAGTTTGCACTCGCTCGACCGCCGTGTCACACATCACAGATTCGCGCTCGCGATCTCCTGCAGAGGACTCCATCCATATCAAGGCACTGTGGAGAGGGGTACTGGCTGGGTCAGCAAGATAAGATAACGCGAGAAATCTCTTTTCTCGTTTTCGCTGTGCCGGTTGAAATCCCATGTGTTCCCCTTTAATCTCGCAGTCCCATCCCATTAACCGGTGTCAGAGTGACCCGTAGAGCCCATGCCAGCCCCTACCCTCCTGCTTCTCCTCTCTCCTTGGTGCCAAGATGATGACTCCCTGCAGCAGCAGCAGCAGCTTCACTCCATCTTGCAGCCGTTTCTCCTGACGACCCCTGGAGCAGCTCGGAGGATGGAAGGCAGGGGAAGGCTGTAGATGGAGTGAGCGGAGAGCAAAAGAGAACGGGCGACGGAGGCGCGGGGAGACTGGGACAGCGGGGGAGGAGGGAAGGGAGGAAGAGAAGGGGAGGGAGGAAGAGAAGGGAGGGAGGCAAGAGAGGGAGAGAGGTGGGAGACAGGAAGAGGAGAGCGAGAATGGGGAGCTGGGAGGGAGGGGGGAATAGAGAGAGAGAGCGGAGAGGTGGCAGAAGAAGGGAGTGGGGGGGGGGAGAAAAGAGGGAGGGGTCAAGAGAGAGTGGGGGGTGGGGGAATAAGTAGGAAGGGGTGCACCACTCCTCTCTCCTCCTGCACCACTCCTCCTGCACCGCTCCTCTCTCCTCCTGCACCACTCCTCCTGCACCGCTCCTCTCTCCTCCTGCACCGCTCCTCCTGCACCGCTCCTCTCTCCTCCTGCACCGCTCCTCTCTCTCCTCCCTGCTCTCTACCTTGGGTCTCCCCAACCCAGATATTTCTCCTGCTCCTCTCCCCCTCTCTCCTCGCCTCGTGCTCCCATACTCCTAGCCTCCCCTCGCTCCCTTTCTACGTCTCCCCTCACCCCCATCTCGGCACCCTCATATCGCTCCCCGCCGAAACCTCACCCCGACCCCCTTGCCTCACTCCTCATCCTCCTCGAGTTCACCACAAGCCCGACCCCGAGCTGCGATCTCAAGCACCCCCCCCCCCGCTCTCGCCCTCCCTCCAATCCTCCCACCCGCAACGCTCTTCCTTGCGCCGCCTCTGCCCGGCTGCCCGTTGCGGGCTTCCCGTCTCGCCCCCCTCGTTCCTCGCGCTCTGTGCGCGCGCGCGCGTGCAGCCGCGAGCTCTGGGAGCCCCTCGCGATTTTTCTCCGCTCCCGCAACCGGATCTCGCCTGTCGCAGTCACTCAGCGTAACTCAGCGCCTTGCACCTCGGCATATTAACGAGATGCAAGGTTACCCATGTGTGTGTACCTCCCTCCTCCTCGTGTCGCCCGCACCGTGCGGAAACGTTGTGGCTCACGCACTCATCGCTCCGTACACGTGCGGGCGAGTGCGAGCGACGAGAGTACTTGCCCCAAGGGCCTGCACAACCATCTAGAGGGGGGGGGGGGGTGGGATCTTTGTCTTTGTAGCACACGTGAGTGCGTGCATGATTAATGATGCAGCGTTTCGAAATATATCTTCGGTTACACAATCAATTTAACTAAGCGCCCCACTTCAATACCACTAGTTCCCTATCTGATCAAATCAACTCGAACCATCATCATCATCAGCGTGATTAATTAATGTTCATCTCGACCGCTTCAGACAGACTCTAAACGCAGCCTCTGTTGGTAACGAGTATAGAACTATTTCTCTCTCTCTCTCCTGTCTAGGATGAGCACGGTTAATGTTGGGTTATTTCACCCGTGTGCTGCGTCACACTCATTTGTAGCAGCAAGACAGCAGCAATTGCACGGCCGTGTGCTCACCCACGTGTACACGTGTGCTCACCCACGTGTACACGTGTGCTCGCTCACCCCACCTGTACACGTGTGCTCGCTCACCCACGTGTACACGTGTGCTCACCACGTATACACGTGTGCTCATCACGTGTGCACGTGTGCTCACCCACGTGTACACGTGTGCTCGCTCACCCCACGTGTACACGTGTGCTCGCTCACCCACGTGTGCTCACCACGTGTACACGTGTGCTCACCCACATGTACACGTGTGCTCGCTCACCCCACGTGTACACGTGTGCTCACCACGTGTACACGTGCGCTCACCCACGTGTACACGTGCGCTCACCCACGTGGACACGTGTGCTCACCCACGTATACACGTGTGCTCACCACGTGTACACGTGTGCTCACCCACGTGTACACGTGTTTTCGCTCACGACACGTGTACACGTGTGCTCACCACGTGGACACGTGTGCTCACCCACGTGTACACGTATGCTCACCCACGTGGACACGTGTGCTCACCACGTGGACACGTGTGCTCACCCACGTGTACACGTATGCTCACCCACGTGGACACGTGTGCTCACCACCTGTACACGTGTGCTCACCCACGTGCACCCACTACTGTGGCCGTCTTCCGGGACAAGTCGAAACGGGTGCGAGTGTCAATCCGGGAGATCGAGTGAGCCTCCCTCCCTCTCTCCTCCCGCCTCGTTGCAATAACCACTCCCAATCGTTCCGCGACACGGTCCGATGTGCGTTGCTCGCAGTCGAGGTACGCCTCGCGATGCACAGGCCATATGCCGATCCACTGCTGGATGAAGGCCTTCTCACGCTCCGGTCGGTGCAGGTTGGCGAAAAGTGGGGGGAGTTCCTGAGGTTGAGATATCACAACGCCACTAACGAGGGGAGGGGGGGGGGCGTGTGGCCAACGCCGCTCCTTTGTATCCCCCTATGTCTGTTGTTTAAAACGCGACGACAATCGTAAAAACAACAACAACAATAATCACAACGTCAACTTCACAACGCGCCACCGCAGAGTATCGGCTCGCTCTCGTAGAGAAACGACGACTCAAGAGGCCGGAGAAGGAGCCAGAGAAGACGGTGGTGGGGGATGGTGCATGTACGGTACGTCGAATGTCTTTCGCACCGCGTGTCGCCAGCCAGAAGTGACCAGTCATGCGGAAAGCAATCGGCGCCCACGATTGCCCAAGTTCTGCGGCCCTCTCTGTATATGCACGTGTCATCGGCCTGAGCGCGGTGAAACAAAACCGGAGCACTCGCAGAAAAGCCACGCGAGTGAAGAGGAGACACAAATATCCCGTACAGACGGATCAGGCGGTGTCCACAACTTTGCTATACTGCCTTCTCCTGGCGCCCCAGGGTTATGGTACCTCGACGCTCACGGGAAGGGAGTTTCGCAACATTTGTGCGGTGATTCACCAACCCTCGCCTTCACGGCGCTGGATTACAGGCCGGCACGCCACACCGGACACGTATTTAAGGCTGAGCTCGTCTAGGGGAGGCCCAGAACTAGGTTAGACATCACTCGCCGCTGGCATTAGAAGTGGTCGAGAATTAAATTCAGCTTGCCAGGTGTGTTGCATTGGCAGTGTGCTGACAACGGCACTTGACCTGCCACTTGACCTGCCACTTGATCTGCCACTTAACTTGCCACTTGACCTGCCACTTGACCTGCCACTTGACCTGCCAACGGCACCACGCTGGCACTGAGGCCCAATCGACGGAGAGGCGTTCACCAACTTGCATGCCTCGGTCGGCATACCCCTTGGCCTGAACCCACGTCACGTCGGTGACGAGCGTTCTTTGAGGATACTTCGCCATGCCGGTGAGTGCGGTTCGGTGAAAGCGAGAGGGGCCCACACTGATTCGACGATGTCTCCGATGTGCGTTTGCTCTCCACTCCACTTGCTCCTGCCTCTGTCTCTCAGGCTAAATGCAAGCACGCATCTCTCCGTGCGTCTTTGTTACACTTTTTTGTTGTTGTTGTTGTTGTTCAATTTTCTTTGCCAATGTTTATATTTCTGTACCACAGCGGGGTAATATACACTCGAGTAATAATGTTTTTTTATCCTTTAGGCAAATTGCTCTGTTGCATTTCATTGCTGAGTTTAATCTTGCAAGAAAACTCCAACCTGCTCCCATCTGCCCCATTTAATAATCGTGATCATGAATGTCTTCAATAGCAGTCCTCGGGCACACATGCCCCTGCATTGTTTTCCAGTTGTGTCCTTCCGACAGATTTCCAAAATGTTTAGCGTAAAAAAAAATTGCGTAAGAATAATATTACTTTTTGATTTAAAGCTTTCGTGACTGCAGTAATTCATATTCTTAGTTTTTTCGGTAAAGTCACGTTGAAGAGAAACAACAAAATAACAAAATATATTATATATATTTTATATATTTTGTTATTTTATATATTTTGTTATTTTTATATATTTTGTTATTTTGTTGTTTCTCTTCAACGTGACTTTACCGAAAAAACTAAGAATAATAATATTACTGGTTAGGGAGGAAGGTTACCACCAGACATGGAATCCCTCCACTACATCACCTCCAGTGGGCATTCATTCCTAAGAGCATTAATTAGGGAATTTAGCCCCCCCCCCTCCGCTACATTTTTTTCCTTCAGGGATATCAGAACTTCGGAAGACACCCGGGGATTGTAGAGTTTATTAAAACAGTTTATTGAAACGTGCGGTTAAGGCAGGCTTCCATTGCACTGCAATCCGCAATGTGTTGTCTGCGCTGGTGTCAACCCCCTTTCATATCCTCTACGTTGTGTACCGGATATCGTTTTGTTAATAAAATACTTTTTTTGGAGAAAAATAAAATAAAAAAGATTACCATTGAGTGCATTTGGTCTTGACATCGTTACTCTTTGGTTCTTTCGGAAAAGTCACGTAGGTAGAAAAAAAATTGTTATAGGCACAGGGCTATTAATGAAGCACTCTGCTTCGCAGTCTGTCGTGATGGTGCTGCTGTGCAATCCCTGTTGAGTAGTCTGTCTGTAGTCATTGTTTTTAATTTGTACAAATTTGGATCACGACGGCGGTCTGCTCGTCCGCAATGGCGTCGGTGGATCTTTATGCTCCACCGTGAAGAAAGACGGCGCACACGTATTATACGGCCAGTATACACCCGCAGAAATAACTAGGGCGGTCTGCCAGAGTCGAACCGCGATCCTCCAGAAAAAAAAAAGAGTTGATGGCGCTACCCACCGGCTGGGTCATGTCACCACCCTAAATAGATTGTTTCTAACTCTCATTTGCTCTTTAATGCACGTGCTACTCTCTCCGCTTCTCAGTGTAATTTCAGGCATCCACTTCACGATTTCATTAGATTTTTTTTGTGTGTGTGGCCCACATCGCAATCACCGTCCACGTGTGATGAGCCAAATTGTCCAAATTCAACCCTAGCCGTGTCGTCTCAATGTTTCATTACATTAAATGCAATCTATTTGTTTTAAATCACAAGGTGTGGCGAATCAAAGCGTCCAAAGTGTCCAATCAGGGTGCAGGCCAATCACCAAATCGCCCCCGTGTCACGTCAACACAAAGTCCAATCACGTGTCAACGACAGGGCGGCCTGTCCCATCAGGAGGACCTGCTCCCGTGGGGGGGGGGGGGGGGGGGCGTGTTATGGGGGGGGGGTG